ATGTGTGTGTGTGTGTGTGTGTGTGTGTCTGTCTGTGTGTGTGTGTGTGTGTGTGTGTATATCAATGCTTCCCACACATAGACTTTGCTTGGGCGGGCCGCCCAAGTATATATGGAGAAACATTTTTGCTTTTATTATTTTTATCCTCATGCTTTTTTTTTTTATCCGCCCCAAAATAATGAAACCATCCACGATCTATTAACTAGTGGAAAATCTCTCCTCGCCCTACACGTTTCGTATCTGCTCGTTCTGTGTGCGCGAGAACCGTTTACGTTCCCTCGTGCGCTGCAGAGACGCGGCGGATATTTCACAAACACAGGGTTCGACAGTGCGGGCCCTTCAGTCGCAAATAAAAATAGATGTGCGTGAACTGTAAAATGTATTTAAGGAGCACGTGTGCGAATAAAGCAATATCCCTCCGGGTGAGTTTTCTTAAATTTAATGTCTTAAAAAGTCTTCAATACATGAAATGGTAAAACAAACGTCTTAATGATCATTTTAAGTCGTCTTATATTTTGGGGATGGAAAAACATAAATCGCGATACAGCCTATCAATTATTAAACTTCAAAATGATTTCATAAAAATAAAAAGAGCGCTGCACGTTGCAGTGTCACAAGGCGGCACTGTAGCGCGTTCAACAGGCTCGCGCTTCAGACTGCTTCAAAGTGATTCTCAATCAATGAACAGAGCACATTTATGCCAAGCAATTGCTTATGAACTCAAGTTAAAGAATTATGACAATGCCTACTTTATGACCTTTACATAATATGTTCTAGACGGTTGTAAGAATGCAAATTTTCTCTCTCATCTGAAGGATCAGCCAACAATAGTGTAGACATTTCTGGGCATTATTGGTATTTTGGTTACAAAATTGATTGTATTTCATTTAATTTAATTTCCATTTTATTCATAGTAAACTATAGTAGTTTCTGGCTGGGAGGCTTCCCCACAGGAAGAAAAGACCAAGAACATTATTTGACACACATTATTCAATATATAGATGTTACTAGTATCAGTCAAATCTGTGTCCCATTCACTGAGAGAGACACTATATGACAAAGTAAGGAGAACATACCATTTAAATGCTGTAATTTTGCATAATTTACAAAGCATATAATAATTCATAATATTAGTATGTAATTAATAGCCTATGTAATTAAAATGAATTTCAATAAATTAAAATATTGTTAGAAATCACACATTATTTGTTATTTGTCACATGTAGACCATTTTTGTGCCGTGGGTAATAGGAGGATTTTCCACCCGGCAAGTATATTTCAAACCTGTGGGAAGCACTGTATATACATATATATATAAAACACTTGACCCTCTATCACTTGCACTCTCTATTCGTTTTCTAACTGCTTGTTTTTCCTCAAAAAACAAAACAAAACTCTAACACTAGCTTTCTATATTCTTTTTTTATTCTATCTACTTGTTTTCTTTGTATATGTGTGTATATGCATATCTATAAATATATATATATATATATATATATATATATATACATATATATATATACAGTATATATATATATGTTTATATATGGATGCATGTTGTATGTATATAAATATATGTATATACAGTATATACACACACACATGTATAAAAAAAACAACCTTGCTACGTGTACTGCGTTGGGCTAACCGAGACTTGGTTTTGATTGCTTCTATTCACACACACTCTCACACACACTCTCACTCACTCACTCACTCACTCTCTCTCTCACACACACCCTCTCACACACACTCTCACTCACTCACTCACTCACTCACACACACACTCTCTCACACACACACACACACACACACACTCACTCTCACACTCTCTCTCACACACACACACTCTCACACACACTCTCACTCACTCACTCACTCACTTTCTCTCTCACACACACACACACACACACACACTCACTCTCACACTCTCTCTCACACACACACACTCTCACACACACTCTCACTCACTCACTCACTCACTTTCTCTCTCACACACACACACACACACACACACTCACTCTCACACTCTCTCTCACACACACACACTCTCACACACACTCTCACTCACTCACTCACTCACTTTCTCTCTCACACACACACACACACACACACACTCACTCTCACACTCTCTCTCTCACACACACACTCTCATACACACTCTCACTCACTCACTCACTCACTCACTCACTCACTCACTCACACTCACACACACACACACACACACACACACACATTATCACCATACAAACATCACACACACAATCAGCTGTTTACCTGGGAGGAGTCTTTCTACAGGTGACGAGAGAGGAAATGAGAAAAGACAGGATTTAAGACAATGAGCGAAAAAGAGTCAAAAATCACCACCATATTTCAGATTAAGATTATACTTTTTCATATTGTTTCAGATTCTACTATTCATATCGTGTCTACTTACTTAAGAATACTCTGAGGTCCACTATGGAAATAAAAAGGTCAAGAAAATATTATTATATTTATTTATTCATAATATATTTATAAGCTTTATATATTATTATTATTATTATTATTATTAATACATTATTATTATTAGTGCAAATGAAAAAAGTGAAGTGAAATTCTGCATGCAAATGTAATTATAAATGTGTCCCATAACTACCAAATATCTCTAAATATTTCTAACTTCAATAAATTACCCTTTGAACTGATTTGAAAAATACTTTATTAATCCTAACAAGGGGAAATGTCTTTGTCACAGCAGCAATACTATTAGCAATACATTGCTGTATACAATACAAGTGCTCATATTCACATTAAAAATGAAAATAAAATGATTTTTATATTAGTTTAGATTCTTTTAGTAAGCAATGTTATATTTTAGTATTGAGATAATATTATAGCTCTTATTATTTAGATTTTATTTTTATATTTAATTTTTTATTTTAGTTAACTTTAGTGCTTAGTTTTTTTTAAATGTCTATAGAGTTTTTTTAAATTAATTTTCATTTTAGTTTTATTCATTTTAGTAGATCCAGTTCAAATATTTCCTTTCTAAACAGCTGGGGGAAAAATTGCTAAATTAAATTTTAATTTTTTTAAAAATATTTTAAATTTTTCAAACAGATCATCCTTTTTTAAATTCCATTTTAATTCAATTTGAGTCTAATTTTAATGAGCTCAAAATGCAGAGTGCATCATGAATCTGTTTT